AGGGGTGGGGTTGGAGTTATAGACAGTGCAGCGGCAAAATACCTTGAAGCAGCGGTGGTGCAACATTACATGAGATTTCAAGAGTTGAATGAGATTTTAAGGGAAAGTGAAATTTGGTTGAATTAAATTTCAAGGGTATATTGGAAGAGTTATTTCATGTTTTCTTAATCTTCGTGCCCCATCAAACCAAGCATCTTAATTTGGAATGGAGGGAGTACTTCAATTAACATCTTCACTTAAGGCTATTTTCTTGAACATTTATTTACCTTCTTTCAACCACTCAAGTCTTAACAAAAGACATGGTATTCCTAGGAGGCTATATGGAAATTTATACCACTGTTAGTATGTGCTATGTTCCTTCAAAAAACAAGTACGGGCTCTGATGTAGCAGTAGCATGACAATTCATAAATTAATAAACTATCCTGATAATGTAATAGCAACAATGATGAGAAACAAGAATGACAATATCCACAACAAATAGCCTAAAACTCAGGCAAATCTAAATGGAGATTAAGAAAGAAACAGTAAATGGCCAAGAAAAATGTGTAAGAGACTACAAACAATGCAATAACAAACCCAGTATAATCCCAACTGTGTTGGGGCCTTGGGGTCAAGATGTACGCAATCTTACCCCTATATAACACAAAGGTTGTTCTCAGACACTTGATGCGTCAAGGAAGGTTTAATTTGCCATTTTGATCTAGTCGATTAGTTACCCAAAGCTTCTCAGACCAATAATTTTACCTGCAACAGGATGCGAACAAGCTCCGTACTTCCAAAACGTGAAGCTTCTAGGAAACACTGGTTGACATTGTCAGCACCTCCATCCACCAACAACCCCAACAAACCCTGGATAACAGTTGCTGATATACCAGATGACCATAGAGGATCAGATGAGATAGAGAAAAGGGTAAGAGGAAAGCATGCTGCATCAAAAGCTTCAGTGAAGTCCTTTCCGGTAAGGTTGTTCCCGGCAAGATCAAGAAAGGTCTTGAAAGCGGATAACTGAAGTTGTATCACTGCAGCGGAGTTGCAACCCACTGTACCCTCATTTCCTTGGCAGCGCAAATGAAAACCTATACAATTAAGAGCCCATTCAGTGAACTTTTGAACCTTTGATCCTGCTTCCGCTTTCAAACTCTCATCTCCATTGCATTCTTGTAGTCGCTCGTGCAACCTGCTGAGGAGGAGGCGACTGAGAAAGTCTAAACCAAAATAAATAAGACCGATACGAACACATACAAATATACAAATAGTAACAAGGTGATTTTAAATGAAATTTACAACTAGGTAAAAAGCCAATCACTCAATCATATATGCATGTTAGCCAGGTTACATATGCGAAAATCAATCGAAGAATGAGAGTTTCAGCAGAAAAGATTTTTTGATTTTGAAAATAAGAACATTTTCCGGATGAGTGTTTAGTATTCCAGCAGTTGCAAATAGATATTGATTGCACTATCACTAAAGATAACAGAAGATAACAGCAACAGGTATAATGAAAGAATATCTGAATTTATAAAATTTAAACTATCAATGGCTACATGATACGCGATTGCTTAAATTTTGCATCTCAAAATTTAAAAATTAACTGTACTGATTTATCATTTCAGCTCTAAAGAGGTTAAAAATTAAAAGTTGTTCCTGACCTAGGCGGTGAAAAGGCCCTACTTAGAGCATGTGCAATGGCAAGGAAGACGCATGCCATGCAGTGCCACATCAGCTTCTTCCACACATATCATGGCATGGCATGGCAAGGCTAAAATGCCTTGCTTTGTGAGGCATGAGTGTGGCACTCCATCCTTCTTTTTTTTAAATAAATTTTTTTAAAATTTTTTATGAAAAAAATGTACAAAAAAGTAGAATAATTTTTTAATAAAATAAATAATAAAAATATTTTTTTATGTTTAAAAAACATAAAAAATTGTAAAAAAGTGATAAAAAATAATGACTTGCCATTGTAGAACTTGCCACTCCATTCACTTGCCACACGCTGACTGGACTATTTTTGATTGGTTAAAATGTTCCATGTCACCGTGTGGCATTCCATTTTTGCCTTGCCATTGTTCATGCTCTTATCTGACAACTAATCAGGCTTTAAGGTACGTTTGAACATTGCTCACAGTGGAAAATTTATGTTCTAGTAGAATGAGATCACAAGTTTCACAGCAATTTCATTTATTAATTTTACCCTGTTTCAATGATAGAAAACTAGGGAGAGAGAGTGTGTGTGTGTGTGAGAGGGAGAGAGAGAGAGTGGGTGTGTGTTTGAGAGAGAGACTACCTTTGAGCCATCACATTCACAGTATTACCAAGACTCATTGTCCTGCTTTGACAAGCAGAAACACATGAAGCAAGAAATGAAGTCCGGAGAATTGCACGAGTAAAGTCATGAGCACCATCTGAGACAATCTTTTTAATCAACCTGGTTATACCACGCATCTCTTGGTGTGTGTTCAAAAACCAAACTGAATCCAGAGCGATGCATAATGCATCGTTGAGAGTTGGAGGATCAATAAATAAGATCAACTTCTCGGCAAGTTCCCAATCATGTGAACTAACAGCGGTCTGAAACAGACGCCCCAACTCCATCCTGTCATGTCTACTAAGCTTCTTCCCCTGCCCAAATTTCTCTTCTGAATCAGAAGTAGCAAGTCTGAATTTAAGCTTCTTAACCCCACAGCTACAAGCTCCACCTCCTCCTGTTGACAACACATTCTCGCCTGTTTCCACATCCATTTCGGAACATTGAAGCTCCTCAATGCCGGCCCCCAAATTCAGATCTTGGGTCTCAGCCACATATGTTCTAGTGTCTTCCTTCATTGTATTTTGTAGAACGAACAACCAAACCAAACACCCAGAACTAGCCAAATATCAAAACAAATTATTCTTCCAATCTGCATCCGGAAGCAAAATTATTTGCAAAAACCCTCAATCCAAGATCCATTTTTAATTAAAAATTTAATGCTCCAAGTCACCCACCAGACATGGAAACTCTAAACGCGACCTAGATTTTTCCAGAAGGAAAGTAGAGCAAAACACCCAGCATCCAAGACAAACAAACATATATTATTACAATAAGGGATCAATCGGATGTTAAGAAGCTCCGCTTAACCATCATCAGAACCCCTAGAAGAACCCCCCTTTTTCTCTGCACCAACCAGTCAACTCCATTATTCAACCCTGCAACCGAGCAAGAACTCAATACAATCAATCGTCATCCAATTGCATGATTCCGCATGACTAAACTCAATCCCAAAGTAAATCGGAACAAAAAATAGACAGAAAAATCGGAACATCAACAGCGAAACACAACAATGAAAAGACAGAAAAATTACCCAAAGTAAAAGTGCGGAGTAAAGAGGGGAAACTCAATGCAGATGTATGGCTGTGGCGAGGCAGAGGTGACCGCTCTGATGAAATCCAGAGAATGGACTGTGGCTCTTCTTCCTGGGGATGGATTCGGAGCGGAAGAGAATATGGGGGAAAAAACAATGGAGAAAATGAAAGAAAAATTATTTACTCATTTGGAAAATGGAAAATTTTCTATGTCATGATAGAGATTTTTGGAGGCATTTGGCAAAGAAAAATGATAATTTTGGGTCCCACCTAACAAAAATCATTGAGAGCAATTTGGTGTTAAGAGAATCTCCATGGACAAAGTATTTTTTTGAAAACAAAAAGTTACTCCCTTCATCCTAATTCTTTCTTCCCAGTTTGATTTTTCCACATTTTTTATTTTTGGCTTTGACTTCAAATTTTACCTTCCTTAAAAAATATTTTTTAAATTTTTTTTGCAATCATTCAAAATATAGAGTTAGAATATAATTGATGTCAATAATGAGGGTATTAATGTCATTTGTCATCTTTTTTCTAATAGAAAGATAGTTTTAGGACGGGAATAAAGTTTTAGGACAGAGGGAGTATTTTCTATGGAACTTACATACTTCTTCCGTCCCAAATTATTTGTCACATTTCTATTACCGAGGCAAAATATTACGTTTTTTCAATTCATTTTATTTACATATTGGTAAAGAAATAAAAAATAAAAATTGCATATCAAAAAACTACATGAAAAGTTCTTCGAAATAAGAAGTGTCAGAAATATTTTATTTTATCAAATAACCAATGAAAACGTCGAAATAAACAAAAGTTCCCGCGACTGCTGAAAAAACAAATGTTGTAAATATTTAGGGACGGAGGGAGTATATATAATACTAAAACATATAAAAATTTTCAATTTATTCCTATATGTTTTAATTTTTTATAGTACTATTGTTCAATATCTATTAGACATTTTTTAAATAAATATTCATTGTTACTCTACATTATTGTAAGAGGTCCATCGCCATTAAAAGTGTTCTATTAAGGTATAAAAGTGTAGGTACTACATTTGAAAAGAGACTATATTTTCGTTTTATTGGTGCAAATGATTATTACATTGTGTTCCCTCTGTTCCATTATAAATTGCTTGTTTGTATTTTTTCTCCATCTCAAAATAAGTTGTCTATTACTTATTATCGTAAACTTTTAAAAGTAAAACATCTAAACTACCCCTAAAATAAGTCATTCTTCTCCATCTTATATTCTCATTCATCGTCGCTCCTCCTAAAAACTAATGAGAATTTTCAGAAAATCAACTCTATTTTTTTTCTTCCTTAAATATGCCCAAAAGTCAAAACATCCGATTTAAAACGGGACGGAAAGAGTATATATTAATGTGCTATTTAAGTAGTTTATACTCTACTTTTTCATTTTCATCTCTTTTTTGTTTTTCTTGTATCTCATTCTTTTTTGTATCAAATCAAATTAGTAATAGTTGTGTGACCCACTCACTCTTAATAAGTTGCATGTCGCTAATCAATCATATGGATTATATGTTTTCATTCCAACAAAATTGCAATATATTTTTATAATAAAACTCTATACTATTTATTTTGTTGTTTGTTCTAAACAAATATATATTTACATATCGTTCTTCATGTTTGACTAATCATAGTTTGCGATGTAAATCATGTAATACCTTGGTCATTCATTTTTTATATATAAACATACACTGAAAGTATGGCATTCCAAAATCGTGTTTCTAATTAAGTATTTGAATTTAAGTAAATAGCATTATTAAAATTATTTTTCTTATAACTTGTGTTTGGGATTTTGAAGTATTGACTAGTACGTAGTATGTACGTTATTTAAAAATCACAAATAAAATAATAAAGTAATTAATTTAACCTTCTAACAATTCAAATTGGTTTTATAATGACAATCAAAACTTATTTTTGAGAACAAAAAAAGATTTTTTTAATAAATCGTGGCATTAGATCAATTATTTCTATGATATAGAGATGGAAATAATATTAAGAACAAAAAAAGAATGAATAAATACTTGTTTAAGCCATTGCACAAAGAATTCAGAAGAAGTTGAAAGAAGGTAAAATGAATTAGAAAAAATTCAAAGTAGTTCGGAAAATTTGAAAAAGTTACAAAATGTTGAAAGTTAAAAATTAGAATAATAAAGAATACTGAGTAAAACAAAGAATGGTGAGTAACATCTTTTTATTATATAGTTGAATATATATTAATAACTTTTTTTGGGACCAATGTGCAAAAGATTTTTTCATGACTTAATTTTACCCTATTCTATAAAAGTATTTTTTTTCATATACTTTTCTTTTTCTTTATTTTCTTTTATTTAAATTTTGATGGATCCAAAAGAAACGATATACAATTAATGAATAGAAAATAAGAAATGAGCTTTAGTAAAAAAGAGAATATTTCATTAATTTTTGTATTATGAAAATGAACGAATAAAGACATCTTTTGGACAAAAAATGAAAAATCTACAATCTGAGACAAATGAAGTGTACGTTAATTCTTGTTATTTAATTGGTTTTTATTGCAAACACAAAAAAAACTTTAATTATTAAAATTATAAAAAATAATTAAAAAATAAAAAAAACATTTATGAAAAATAGTAGGAAAAAAGAAAATCAATACAAAAAGGGGCATTTGTGCCACTAAAGAAAACCCATTTATTTTATTTAAAGAAAAATTGTGAATACTATTTACGTCAATATTCAGAAATTGAGTAGATTACACCACTGCTTCAAGAAATTACAAATTGAATAGTTTACACTACTGCATCCAAAAATTAATAAATTTCATAGCATTACTTTAGGGTGCCAACTAAACAAAATACATGACATTTTAGATGATGATTGTAAATTATTAAGTATGAATTGGTAACTATTGAGTAAATATAATGTTTTAGATAAAATAAAGAATTTTAAAGTAGATATTTCATAATCAAATTTATATTTGTTGGGAAGATGTTCAAAATATTAACTATGTACTATATCAACTTTAATATTCTTTAATTTTTTATTCGAAACACTACTACTAATTTATCTCATTAAAATACATACACTTTATTTTTCAATTGCAAGACATTTTATCTTGAATCAACATGTAGAGGGGGTAGCTAGGTATAATGCATATGCATTCAAGGTATTTTCTTTTTTTTTTTTATAATTAATTATCAATTAACGCTTAATAATTATCCATTCACCATTTAAAATATCATGTATTCAGTTTAGCTAGTAGCCTGAAATATTGATATAAAACTAAGTAATTTTTGGGAAGAGTTGTGTCAATTATTCAATTTTAGAGTATTAAAGTAAAATAACATATTTTTTTAAGTATTCATGCGAATGTTTCCTTTATTTAATAAAAGAAAAAAATATTTTAATTAATTTAATTAAATATAATAATTGATTTAAATTATTTTATTTAAATGTAAATATTTTATTAAAGTTGGTGTTGTAAATTTATTGTTGTAGAGATAGATCTACAAAGTTTGTAGATTTTAAATTTCGACGTGAGTGCTAATGTGTCGATATTAAAATTACTTTTTTGTATTTATGATATATTTTACCATTACCCTAGTAGAGCTGGCAAATCGGTCGGTCAGGTTGAGTTTGGGAAGTTTGGGTTATTTTGGATTCGGGTTGAGAATTATATGTTCATGACCCAGTGTCATCAGGTTTAGGTCGATCCAACAGATTATGACTTTGGTTTTTAAAATTTTTAAATTCACATTAACATTTAGATTTTTTATTAAATAAATTTAAAATATAAAAAAACTATTAAATCTATAAAATTATTTTATTTTAAATTTTAAAGTAGTTTTTAGATATATAAATCAATATAAAGAATTTAAAAATGTTTAAGTTTTGGAAAAAGTAACATAATTATGCAATATCATTAAAATTTTGTATGAAAATATAAATTTATATACTAAAAATGAGTAAAAAAGTGTATAATTTTGAAGAATTCTTACTTTAGCGGGTCGATCAGGCTGGGTTTGAGTTTGGTTGGATTTGACCCATTTTTAGCGGGTCATTTCGCGTTCGAGTCAAAGGTCACTTTTTTGCGAGGTCTATACCCTAGCATTATTTTTGAACATAAAATCACTGTTCGGCGCCACTTAGGCCCGAACTCGACCCAGGCGTAGCGGAAGACCGGTTATAAATTATAAGAGCGGGGAACCCTAATCCTCCCTCCGCCGAAACTACACGCTCAAGCTCTCTCTTCCGATCTTCCATTCTACAGTCATCCCTTCCGGCCCTGCCTTCCTGCCGTGAGTTAATTATTTCCCGTTTAGCTTTCAGTCTATCTTGTACTAAGCTTGATTGTGATTTTGTTTTTACTTCTTGTTTGGTTTGTATAAAACTGGCCGGATCAGAAGATACAAATGGCCAATCCACTCCGATCCCAAACCCTAATTTTTTTATGATTATATTTTTTTTTGGTTTCTGTGTGTGCTGGAGAAATCCAAACCGGCCTGTCAAAACCGTGACCATGGTGATCCGTCCACCCGCCGGAAACGTGTGGTGTTAAATTCTATAAGATTCAACGCGACTATTAGACAACTAAGAACAAAAAAATCATAATTCATCGCACTACAGTTTGAAGTATGAACATGCTTGAAAGGATTCTAGGTATTTCGTTTAATTTAAAGTTCAATATACATAAAAATACGGTGGAACTTGGCGACTACATTTTCAGTCCATATAGTACAAATTGTGCTGAAAAAGTTATGTAGAATGGATGTTAATTTTTTCTTTGATTTAACTTGCCTCCTTCATCTACCAATATATGTAGAATCTTATTAAAATTATCTCGTTTTCAGACCATATAGTATATATAATATGCAGTATTTTTTTTTGAAAGGGCTATTTATGAAGGATGAACAATATTTATTTGATTTCTCTCTGCTTATTTACTCCCAACTTCCTAAATCTGAATTCCCAAATACGACTATATGAGTACTAATTTTCTTCTTTGCTTATTTTTTGTTAAACATTTGTTAAAACAACAGTCAAATTTATTTCTTGTATTATATACCATTAGATATGTGTATTTTTTGAATATATTAATTTTATTTAAAACAATACAAAGTGTATATCTTTTAAATAAATTGAATTGAGAATGAAGTTCGTCAACCATCTAACTCTGCAATGGGATTTAAGTTTTCGAACTGAGTTACTGAGGTAGTATTACTTGTACATAGATTCAGCATATAATTAATGCAATCTTACATGGCATTTTAGATGTTTATGTTTTAGGAAGGACTCATCTTATTCTGTGCTTACAGGAAATCACTTCCTTATTCTGAAATGGCAGTCACATTCAACAACCTTAGCTCAGATTCTGGCCTTGCTAAGCTTGATGAGTACCTACTCAGTCGCAGTTATATCACTGGGTGGGTCACTATCTATCTGTAGGGAGTTGTGTGCTTATTTTTTCCATATTAATTTAACATTTAACATTTGATTTTGTGTTCAGATATCAAGCTTCCAAGGATGACATCACAGCATATTCTTCTATTCCCAAGCCACCTTCATCTAAATATGTGAATGTTTCTCGGTGGTACAACCACATTGATGCACTATTGCGAATTTCGTATGTTCTGAATGCACAACACATCTTTCATTTTTGCTTTTATGAGATTTGGCTTTTGAATTTGTAACAGCACTTTCATAGAGCCTACCCTTAGTGTGCTTGCTTATTTACGTAACATTACTTGTTATATTATCATAATATGTTATATTCAAATAAGAGTCTAAATGACTGATGTCACCTGTTGTTTTAACCAGAGGTGTATCAGAAGAAGGTTCTGGTGTCATCATTAAAGGTTCTGCACTTGTCTCTGAGTGTGTGGCAACACCACCAGTCTCTGACTCAAAGGTATCCCAGTTCATAGATTTTCTTGTATATAGGATATAAATGTCATATTTTTTTTCTGTACTAATGCAATTTGATATGTTGTGTGTATCGTATTTAGTATGAGTAGATGCATTATTCCTTCTTTTTTCTTTATTTAGCCTTTAGTTTACTTTTTCAAACTCTGCAGTGTTATGCCTTACTATGTGCATCACTTTATTGCAAACATTAGCAAGTACAGGCTTCAGCAGCTGTAGAGGAAGATGATGATGATGTTGATTTGTTTGGCGAGGAGACAGAAGAGGAAAAGAAGGCTGCTGAAGAACGTGCTGCAGCTGTGAAGGCTTCAATAAAAAAGAAAGAGTGTGAGTTTTATAATTTACATTTTGGAAAGTGTCTTGCCGAGTATCATTTATAATCAATTTAGTAGATAAATTAAAATTGTAGGCTAATGTACACCTATTTTTTATCTTGTCATAGCTGGGAAGTCCTCAATTCTTTTGGATGTCAAACCATGGGATGATGAGACTGATATGAAAAAGCTTGAAGAAGCTGTCCGAAGTGTTAAAATGGAAGGTTTAGTTTGGGGTGCATGTATGTTCTTCTTCCTTGTCTTCATCTTTTAATCACATCTATTGCATTCAACTTCCATTAATTGTTCTCTGGTTTTAACTGTCTGGTACATTGGAAAAGGTGAAGAAAATAAAATACTATGGGAAGTATTTGTGTTTTTGTAGAGTATTTAGATGTTTTAGTATGTATGTATGTATGTATTAAAATCCATATTTTTTGTAGAGTATTTAGATGTATTAGTATGTATGTATGTATGTATGTATGTATGTATGTATGTATGTATGTATGTATGTATGTATGTATGTATGTATGTATGTATGTATGTATGTATGTATGTATGTATGTATGTATGTATGTATGTATGTATGTATGTATGTATGTATGTATGTATTTATGTATGTATGTATGTATGTATGTATGTA